TAGAGATTAAGAGATCATAAGAAATATACAAAATGATATATAGATTCGAGAGTTTAATTTCAAGTGTAAAAAGCAACGAATAATGATTTAGAATTTAAATTATATTAAAAATGAAAAATTATCATCTTTTCACATTAGAGATTTTATCCTAATATTTAATTAATGAACATATTTACAATTTTTTTTTTGAAAGATCATATTATTGTCATATAACTAACAACAACGAATAAAATACAAAACAACAATAAAATACGCATTATAAATTACATTAAAAAAATTATACTTTTGTAATTGACAATATCATTTTGATTAAATTATTATTTGTTTTTTTTTTGTCTGAAATAATTAAATTGTAAAATAAATAAAATAATTATATAAAAAGAAAAAAAAAACTTAGAGTATATAGGAAAATATCTTTTCTTGAGATATATGTATGAAAAATCATGCATCGCACGGGCCTTTATCTAGGATTTATATAGGATTTATATTTTATTTTAACATCGCACGGGCTTTTTTTAAATGCAGATCTAACACATCATACGACACAAATAAAATTTCGTATCAATACAAAGCCACATCAAGCGAATTTTGTGTTAGTAATTTTGTGTTAGTTTTAGGTCATAAATGTCCGGGTATTATGTTTAAATGTATATTTGTAATTATTAGTTACATTGTATTTATTTAGGATACTTAACGATTATTTGTTTATGTAATGACACACGATTTGATTTTGTATACTTAATATATGGATGGGTTTGGTTATTTTTGGAGATGATGAAAAAATTCCAATGCATAAATTTGATTTTATATCGCAACAATTTTTCATTTATTGGTAAATATATTGATTTATTTTATATAAATGTAAAGATTTAATTTATATCAATTTCAGTTTGGCTAACATTTCACGGTTCAATTTATCCATTGATGTAGTAGGTTGATTGTGGATGAGGTTGGTGATTTTATTGAAATAAAAGATATGGTAAAACAATGAATAATGATTTAAGATTTAAATTATTACAAAATCTATCATTTCACATTATATAACGGAAAAAATATCTTTTCTTGAGATATATGTATGAAAAATCGTCCATCGCATGGGCTTTCATCTAGTTTATAAATAAATTAGGCATTTTTGGAGAGCATTCGGAGCGTCACGTAAGAAATATAATTATTTCGCCAATAAGAAGAAAAATTTGTATTTTATTTTTGAATTAAAAAATTATGTCGCCACCTAGATAAAAGTAACGAATTAGATTTGATATATCTAAAATTTTAATGCCACGTAGATTATAATCCACGAATTAAATTATTTTAATGAAAAAAAATAAAGTAAAAATATAGGAAAAGATAAATTTATTAATTCAATACTACAAGTATAAGAAATCCAAAAAAATTATACTAAAAAATATTTAAATCATAAACGCTTATAATAAAGTTTGATACCTATCATTATAAGATAAATTTTGATGGTATTTATGATAAAAAAAATATAAATTGTTCGTTAATTATAATTAAATTAAAATTTGTGATACCTACCACTATAAATTGACACATTATACGACACAAACAAAATTTCGTATCAATAAAAAAAGCCTATCAAGCGAATTTTGTGTTAGTATATTTGTGTTAATTTTTTGTCATCAATGGTCGGGTAATTTTTAGCTTAATTTTTAAAATCCTATGTTTAAATTAGTATTTCTAATTATTACTTACATTGTATTAATTTCGGATACTCAACAACTATATGTTTATGTTTTATTTACTAAATGTTTTTTTACATGCAAATCTAACACATCATACTACACAAACAAAATTTTGTATCAATAAAAAACCCCATGAAGCAAATTTTATGTTAGTAATTTTGTGTTAATTTGGTCATCAATGGCCGGGTAATTTTTAGCTTAATTTTTAAAATCCTATGTTTAAATTAGTATTTCTTATTATTACTTACATTGTATTAATTTGGGATACTCAACGATTATATGTTTATGTTTCATTTACTAAATGTTTTTCATGCACATCTAACACATCATATGACACAAATAAAATTTCGTATCAATACAAAATCCCATCAAGCGAATTTTGTGTTAGTTTTAGGTCATCAATAATGTCCGGGTAATTTTTAAAATCTTATGTTTAAATTTATATTTGTAATCATTAGTTACATTGTATTTATTTAGGATACTTAACGATTATTAGTTTATGTAATGGCATACGATTAGATGTTGTATACTTAATAGGAATATTCATTGGAATAATCCCACCTTTGGGCCATTCGTTTTTAATAATCCCACCTTTGAGATATTATTTAATAATCCGACCTTTATCCCCCATTCTTTTTTATTGGACTTATTTGACCAGAAACCGGTTGAGTAGGTAATTTTTTTTTAAGTTTAATTTACATGTGTCACAATTTGATTTGTCCAAAATTAAAAAAAAAACCCTACCCTGAACCCATCCATCAGATCTTCCCCTGCCACCCCTGCCGCTCCTCCTCCCCTGCCTCACCCTCCATCACACCCTTACACAACAACCCCAACCTTCGCCTACTCCCCTGCTCCCCACCGCAACAACCACCTAACCAGCCCGTTGCAACAAACCGCAACCAGCCAGCCATCTCCACCTTCCCTCAACAACCGCTCAGCCGCTACTCCAGCCACCTCCTCACCGTAGCCAATTCCGGCACCAACGAACCACAACCCTTCTCCGTAACACCTAACCACAATGGCTTTGGGCTGATTTGTGGGTTGTATTGCGAATTCTAGGCGCTATTTCTGTTTGAATTGGTGGCTGTTGGGATTATTTTTGGGCTGAATGAATGGTGGAGCGGTGCCGTTGGTGAGGTGCGTGGGGGTTTCTGGGTTGGTTGATGGTGGTGCAAAGGTGGGATGGTGGGTGTGAAGAACTCTAAAAAAAATCAATTTGGGGCTTTTTGTTTGGTTCAGCTACTCTTGTAATTCATTGCACCAAATGAATCTTCGTTGGATTGTGAGCATTTTGATACAAATTTCATGCATTTTGGTGAAGAAATGAGTAGGTTACCATTATGCCATGAACTCCATATGTGAGCTTCAATGGAGTTTCCTCCATTGTTGTCTTCTTTAAGCTTAAAAATGGGGTTGTCGAGGAAGGAAGGGAAGGGGAGGGAGGCCGGCGGCTGGCGGCGCATTTGCCGGAGTAGGTACCGCCAGGGGGCTGGCTTAGGCTGGTGGTTGGGCTGGCTCCCTAGAGGCTAGCTGTTTGTTTGTTTTTTTTTTTTTTTTGGTTTTTTTTTTTCTGTTTTTTTTTATTTTGTTATTTTTTTTCAGTTTTTATTTTGTTATTTTTATTTTATTTTTGACCAATCACAGGACGCCGCGTGTCATGTAACCGGTTATAACAGGTTACATGACCGGGTGGGACCAATAAAAAAGAATGGGGGGTAAAGGTCGGATTATTAAATAATATCTCAAAGGTGGGATTATTAAAAACGAATGGCCCAAAGATGGGATTATTCCCATGATTTTTTCCTACTTAATATATGGATGGCTTTGGTTATTTTTGGAGATGATGAAAAAATTCCAATACATAGATTTGATTTTATATCGCAACAATTTTTCATTTACTGGCAAATATATTGATTTATTTTATATAAATGTAAAGATTTAATTTATATCAATTTCAGTTTGGCTAACATTTCACGGTTCAATTTATCCATTGATATAGTAGGTTGGTTGTGGACAAGGTTGGTGATTATATCGAAATAAAAGATATGGTAAATTTAAATTATTAAAAATTGATTTTATATTATGGAAAAAATATCATATTTACAATATATTTATATTTAATAAATTCATTATAAATTATAGTAAAAAAAAATATTAAACTTTTGTAATTTTGTCTGAAATTATTAAATACAATAAATCAAATAATTAAAAATCTTAGATGAAAAAATCGTGCATTGCAGGGGCTTCTATCTAATTACCATTAAAATTATCAAAGTTACACTTAAATTAACCAACTTATAATAAAATTAAGGGAAATTATCAATAATACCCTCCAGGTTTTGGCTTTTATCAATAATACACATCATTAAACTTTCATTATCACCGGTACGCCTAAACTTTTCCCTAATTTACTACAGTAAGCTTAACATTAAGTAAATGTTAATTATACTTTGTTGTCAGTGTTTTTAAGGTTAGGAGGCTAAAAATACTACATTGCCCCTCTCATTTAATTTCCCTCCAAACTTTTCCGTAATTCTCTTCAGTTTCTTGGCTGATTATCGGCCTGCGAAAGCCACTATCCTACCTCCAAATTCCTACTTCACAGGATCAAAATTGAAGCACATAAGAACTACAAACCCCATCCAAAATCATCTTCCCAAAATCAAGATTAAAAATTCTAATTTCATGGTAATAATCTTATAGGGTTTAGCTGGGTGAGGCCAAAAGTGTTTCCATTTGAACAAATAAAGCTCAATAGTCAACAATGTAAAATTAAAGAAATAAAATTAAGCAGTAAAATTAATCAAATAGTATCTCAAATTACAAAAATGAAACTAAAACAATAGTGGGTATTCACTAATTTACAAATTTCTGTAAGCAATTAGGTAATTAAGATAGGAAATTGAAGAAATTTTGAAGAATATTAATTGAATAGAAGAGTATTACTGATGTGGGTTTTGTTGGATAAGAAGTTAGCTGCAATCCTCCACCTCCAATAATTTGTAGTGAGAAATCCCATTTTATCGTCAGTTCTTCAACAAGCAGCAATACGAACAGTACAGAATTTGCCAAATTGAAGAAGCAAACTGATACACATAATTAAACAAAGTATAATTAACGTTTACTTAACGTTAAGCTTACTGTAGTAAATTAGGGAAAAATTTAGGTGTACCGGTGATAATAAAAGTTTAATGACGTGTATCATTGATAAAAGCCAAAACATTATTGATAATTTTCCCAAAATTAACATAAGTGCCTTATAGAAGATTTATTGTTTGAATTGAGGTCATTCGCGAAGTGAACCTAGCGAACTCACGTGTAGCAAGACAGTTGAATACCAAATCCAGGTAGACTTTTAAAGGCGGTGAAACCGGTTTGTTCGGGAATCAAAAATACTAATTCGAGCTGTGAGAAAAGAAAGCATGCGATCAGGGTTTTCGATTAAATTCTCATCAATTACTTGGAGTCCTTAAGTTCTTTCAACATTGACATGCTCGAACATGGCGGAAGATGACGAATTTCACAATAAGGAAGACGGCAACAAGAAATTGTGGGGCATTGTACTCTTCAGTTTGATTGGCGCCACTGCAACCACTTTTGCGGTATGTATACAATTCAATTTCAGTGCTATTCAATTTGTTTGCATTTCCCTTCTATTTGATTGAATCCTGGAAACTATGCTTGCTTTGGAATTCGATTCATAATAATTAATTTATGAACTTTGGCGTGGAATTGTTAATTGCTGTGAATTTTCTCATTAATTTGCTAGGGGGAAATTGTTTGATTGATGAATTTTGTTGGCTAATTGAGTTTGGTTGATCTTGTTCGAATGATATTTTGGTTAGGTTGTTTGATTGTGGGAATTGGCAATGAACTTTTAAGTATTTTGCAAAATGTTGTAAATTACAAAGCTAGATTTTTGTAACCTTTTTGTATGGCTAGATAAACTTTTGCAATTCTTTGTGAGCTGTAAAAGCTGCTGAATTCATTTGCCCTGGTTTAGAGTAGCTTATTTCGCCTATTTTGATTGCAATGGGTGTGCTCATACCCCTGGAGGGATGGGAGTTGTCAGTTGATCTCTAAATATGATAGTTAGTTTTGGTTTAAGTACTAGTAATAGTAAAAAAGTATAACTGTAGTCAATTAGCTTACGAATGACTGTTATGAGTGGCGTGGGAACATCCATTAAACCCGGATTGAATATAGATGTATGACCTGAATCTAAGTTGATGACTTTTTTTTGCTCTGAAACAACAGTTGGAAAGGCTTACATGAAGTATGAGCTAATGATGTATCTTAGGTGAATAAAAGCTCTTTTGAAGGTCAAGGAATAGTGGATGAGGCCAGAGAAATTATATGTGAGAGCTTTTATCTTGCATTGCCAGCCTATCGGGTGAGATTGCCCTAGGGGATTGGCAAAGCTTTCTCATAGAGTAGTATGTGAAGGAGTCTTTTTTACCCTGTTTGCCCGATTGGATGAAGCTAATTTCTTGGCAAACTCGTATGATCTTTCAAAGATTTTGGATTTTCAGCTTGCACCAATCAGGTGACTTTGCTCGATGGGGTAAAGTGGCCTCTTGGTTACAATTTTCTCAAATTTTCCTTTTACTTATTTGATCTTGACCATTCAAATATAATCCAAGGGCTCTTATAGTTAATGATTAGGGTAATGTTAGCCACCTATATAAGGGGGAGTAGTACAGTTTAAGCACAACTTTTAATGTTTTATGAATTGAGGAGAGTCTCTCTCTCTCTCTCTCATTTTTGTGGAAAACAACTTAATCTATGTAATTAACAATCTTTAATCATCAAACTTTGTGTGAGATTAGTGATTGAAACCTTGTTCACTTCAAACTTAGTGGTTTATGAGACAATTTTATCCCTTTTGCTGTACTATATCCTTGCTTTTCCTAAAAAACAAAAAAAACCCAAAAATAGCATCTTGAAAGGTGAGAAATTTAAAGTCTTGGATATTTCACATCAATGAGTGTCTACAAGATATTGATTCAGACTTTATTACTAAAGTTTGGGTAGATTAGGATAAGTTTTGGTCAAGGAGAGTTGGTGGAGCCTGATGGACAGCTTCTTGACCTTTTTTTTTTTGTCTTTTCCATGTCAGTTGTGTTGCTATACTTGTTAGGGATTTTTTAATTTTTATTTATTTATTTACTTTTATTATTACTCTCAAGTGATTTAGGGTTATGGAATTATAGCCCTCAGCTTTATCACGTTGGTGATAATTCAGAGTATTCATGTTGAGAGACTTTTGGGTTTGTTGTGCTTCCTACAATGGTTTGGTGGGGTTTTAGGTTAACCCACCAATGTACGATTTTAAGTTTTTATTTTTTTAATTTTTATTTTTTTAAATATTTTTTTAAATTGCTAAACATAAGATTGAGAATCAGCCTCACACATAACAGATGTTCCTTTTTGAAGCAATCCTCGTTGCAATTCTTTAGGACTAAATGGTGTCTCATGTCACTAGGAGACTTGATGGTTGAGAGTAAGCCTAAGACTTATACTTACTAGTTGACGCATTTCTTTTTGGCAGACAAATTAAACAAACAAAGGATAAATACTAAAATACCCTTACTTTCATCCCTACCTACCCTTTTCCTTCTCCTTCTTTCATGTTGACTAAACAATCAACCACCTCCATGGCTCACCACTACCTCACTTTCATCTACTCCGCCACTATCACCGCCTTTTTATTCACCTCAAACTTTATCTCCCCTCCCTTAAACACCCAAGTTTTCTTTCATTCTCCTAATTTACAACCGCCCTAAATTCCCAATCATTTAATTAAAAAAAAAAAAAATCTATATCTATAATTTTTCTAGGTGACGAAACTACTAGTCTTTTTTAGGAAATGAAAAGAGGAATAACAAGCATGTGTTCATAGTGAGGATGATAAAACCCCTCGTGGGTATCATTTTCGACATTAGAGAACCAATTATCTTCACCTAAAATGCTATATTTTCATTGAAATGAGATGCAATGTGAGATAGGTCTGTGATGTGATCCTATGGTAGATCGATGAAATCAAGATCTTAATTCTATCTCGTGGTGATAGGAGGTGGAAGAGGAGGCGATAGCTAATGGTGGTGCAGTGGTACGGTGTGGTGGAGGGAGGAGAAAGAAGGAGGCCAATGTCTAGTGAAGGAAAGAAGAAAGGGAGAAGGAGAGAAGAAAAATGCCGATGGCAAAGGAATATAGGGTGTTGCGGCGGTGGTGGTTGTGGACTTGTGGTGGTGGGGAAGGAGAGAGAAAATAGAATGGTGGTTTGTTGATAAGGTGTGAGAAAGGAGAGAGATTGGGTATTTTGGGTCTGGTATGGGGAGGACCGGAGGAGATAGAATAAGGGTAAAATTAATTATTTACCAAAAAAATGCTAAAATAGAAACGTGTCTCCTAATTAGAATCTTCCCAAATAGAAATACGTGTCTACGGATGATGTATGTATAATTTTTCTAGAGAGAGAAGCCTCAAACCTTATACTTCTAAATCTTTGTATTTCCTCTCTCAATTCGAACTTTTCGTGTGGTTGGTAAGCTTGTATTGTTTATAAAGGATATTTATTGGTCTGGTGGATACTTGGCAGGGTATAAAAAATCTCTTATTGAGGCTAGTTTGACTTTTGGCAGAGTATGGTTTGAGTTTTGATCACCTATTTTTTGAGAGACCCTTGTATTAGTCCAACCAGAGGGTGAGGGTGGAATGGGCGTTGTACTCATGTATATGTGCAGTAACTGTGTATTAAGAAGTAGGGGTGAGCAGAACCGGGTACCCGGCTGAGTTCATGGGACCCGGTCCCGGAACCGGTTGTACCGGGTATCCAGATCTTGGACCCGGTCCCGGAACCGGTTGAAGCGGGTCTAGGAATTTCAGAACTGGTCCCGGAACCGATTGGAACCGGTTCCAAGACCGGGTACTCGGTTTTTCTTCCTTATTTAATTTTTTTAGCCACCACCGGAGCCTGGAGTCATGGAGGCTGCTGCGCGAAAGAGAGGAGAGGGGGAGACTGGAGGACACCGTCGGACTGCTGCGCAAAATACCGGCGAGGTGACGAGGCGGCCAGTCGTCGACGACATTGCGACAGATCTGCCGTTGAGAGATGTGGAGATAAATCTGCTGTTGAGAGGAGAAGTGGAGATAAATTACTGGGTTACTGGGTTGGTATGATAATTTAAAATAAATTAGTGGTTTCATGGTTTGTATGATGATTTGTAAAATTAATTAAAAAACTAAAAAGGTATTGGATTTAAATTTAAAATGATAAATGGTGTTAAAAGGTGACGACAAGAACAGAAACCAAAGGCAAAGGTTTGACTCAAAGGACAATATGACTTTGGGGTATCGTGTATTTGTGTAAGCCAAACAAAATAAGAGTACAAGACACGTTTAATGCCATTTGAACCAATACCAAACCGGGTACCCAGTGGGTACCGGGTCCGAAATTTCAGGACCCGGTCCCGGAACCGGTTGGATTGGTTCCGGGTTTGGAACCACCGGGTCTGAACCGGTTCCGGGTCCGGTACCGGGTACCCTGGGTCTTTGCTCACCCCTATTGAGAAGTAACAGTAATATTGAGTCTTATGATTATTGTGGGGGTAATATTTATGATGCTTTTTCCTTGAAGTCTTGTACCCGGACTCCTGTGGTATATGTCCTCAGAAGAAAGTATATATCTGAAATTATATAAGATGCTGTAAAGACTGTAGAAGTTTTTCTTTTCTCATGCTCACCTTTGCAAGTTTAATTTTCTGGTTTATCTTATGAGCTAGAAAATTAGTATTAGGAGCATATTTGAAAGCCTACCTTGTTGATTTATTTCTTCATCTCTTCTATAAAGGCATCCATTATGCTCTTCAGTCTTTTGTTTACTTTTATTGCTTTATGTAACTCATATTATACAGAATTTAATTATTTGACTTTCTTGCTAGATATTATTATTATAATTCTTTTTTTTTTACTATCTTCTTGAATGAGAATAAGATGCTCGTGAAGGCCAGCTTTGCATGAAATACACTTATAAACATCTTGGTGTGGTCTCTATAATTCCAAGCTCCTCATAAGGAGAAAGTCTTTATATGACCTTGGTTTAAATGTAAGTAGGCATAAATCTATTTACTTCCTCCGCTCTTTTTTAATCATACCTTTGGGGTTTTTACACTTGCCAATGCACACTTTATACTTCTACTATCTTGAAATATGTTTTTAGTAAAGTTTTAAAAAGTTAATATTATGAACGTATATTTGGAGACAAATCTAAAAAGACACTGCATGATTTTGTTTTTCCTAAAGTATAAGTCACAAAATGACAAAAAGTTGTGAAAAGAGTGTGTGAATAAATAGAATATTGTAAAATCATGTTGCGATTAAAAAAGAACGAAGGATGTATTTTGCAAACCTTTCTAATTATGGATTTTCTTGACACCTTGGGTTGTGCTATGTCTTAAAAGTAGCTAGACAAATTGCATATCCTTTTTTCATGTTTTTTTTCTTGAAAACTGAGGTTGTGTGGGATAACAATTGAATGCTTATTATTTATATTATTATTATTATTTTGAATTATTTTTGTTTATGATTTTATTTATTTATTAATTTATTTTTGAATCCATTCTAGATACCTTTAAGCCGTTTAAGGGAGGCTATGTTAGATCAGGGCTGAAGGAGGAAAAGAGTACTATCTTTGTTAGAATATATAAAGTACTGTTAGGAAGATACAGATTTCATTTTTTGCTCATACCACTCATAGCATAGAGACCATATTTTTTATTTTCTTACCAGGCCTCTTTTGATGCAACAAATATATAATTGACACTTGACAGAAGATGATATCATAAGTTGATTTGAATTCTAGGCCTGAGGAATGAATGGAAAATTAATGTGAATAAGTTTCATGTATGTTTTCATCTAATTGAAGTCATTGAAATTATTTCAGGTTGGACAACTAAGACAGTTTGGACGAACTGTTGACTGGATTTCTGCCCAGGTAAACAGTTTCCTTCAAGTGGTTTATGAACTACTTTAGAATGAAGATGGTAAATGAGCTGATAATCTGTTATTATTTATGAATTTATTAGCTTGTTTTTATCTTGAAACTCTTTATTATTTCATGGTTCATAGATTATAGTTTTCACACTTAACAAATATTGAATTGTTAACATATATGAAGCCTGTGAAGTAGGAAGATCAATAAATAATTGCTTGGTCTAAACTGTAGGTTTTTTCTATTGGCTTCCTTAATGATTAATGTTAAATTGTTGATGTGTGTTTGATGCATAAGCTTCAATATTGAATTAATGGCAGCTTTTTCTAGTGTAAAGAAGAGACCATGTGATTTTGCACGTACCCTTCTCCACATTTTCTGCTAGTGCAAGGCTTAAATGTTTTGAGTGATAAGGAAAATATTAGTAGATTCAATTAGGGGTGCCAATTCAACTAATTTGTATGACCAACGAGGAGCCTTTGACAACTGAGCGTTTTACTACGTTTTTCCGGGACAACTCCAGCGCCCTATTAATTCTTTTTTTCAATCTCCCTTCTCTCATGTTGACAACTGAGCGTTTTACCACATTTTTCTGGGACAACTCCAGCGCCCTATTGTAGACATCTACTTTTGGTCCCCTGTCGCGACCGGAAGTGCTATGACGATAAATAATTCCATCTTTGTGCTGGATTAGAGTAAGGAATGCTTATGGACTACTGATTAAGGCCTAAACACACAAAACTAACTAGCTTGACCCAAACAAAATGAATCAAAGCTCATTAACACTAAGCCCAATCAGAAATTAGGCATAATCCCAAGGTTAAACCTAATTTCGAACGGATTTAGAGCGCCTAGGTTAAAATGTAGGGTTGCCGCAGGAAAATGCACGCGCAACTCCTTTGAGTTGCGCTGGCCTAGCGCATGCAACTCACAAGGTTGCGTGCGGCATCAAGCGCAAATATGCGCTCGCAGAAGATTCAAAATTTCAAAAATATATTGAATCGAAAGCGTAACCTATGGTCTTGCGCGCAGTAGCCGCGCGCAACCTCCAGAGTTGCGCTCGCCACCTGCTGCGGCAGACTCTCCGGAACCCTAATCTCACCCATTCCCTATAAATAAAGGTTCAATACGAGCTTTGAACACAGAAAATTCGCCTAAAAGTCAGTAGTATCATCTTTGTGAATTTATGCAATAATCAATCCTCTTTTCCTAAACACTCACCCCTTAATTATTTTGTTCTTACGGTGGAGGCTTCCCAACAAGGAGTCCATAAGTGTTCTAAATGAAGATCTAGCAAGGAAAAGTGGTAAATTTATGAGCACTTAGATAAATCACATTATTTTTCTTGTCCAAATTTAATTAATTAATTAGTGTTGTTTGATCACTTTAAATAAACTTTAATTAATTAATTTCACATAGTATTCTTGCGTTAATTAAAGACTAGAATTGAATGAGTAATTGATTGTTTTATCACCTAAGCCAAGACGAGTCTTGTTTATTTATTGTTCTTTACACGAATTTGGAATAAATAAGAATAAGGACAATCGTTGCAATGTAATCTTTATGTGATTGATGCGTGTAAATAAAATTAACTAACTTAGTTTTAGGTACCACGTTGCATATATTGTTTGGTGATGAAATTGTGAAAAAGGAAGAGATAGTAGAGGCCGCTCTTGGGCTAGGATAGCGATTCCCCCTAAAGGAAACGTTATTTTAGTACCCTCACTCCCGAACTCATTTCTGGTACAAGTAGACCAATTTGGGCATGGGTAAACTTATAATTCATGCTAAATATCCCTTCTAACTCTACTTGGGAGAAAAGCATGAACTAGGTTTATGGGTTTTCCTAAAACTCATTGGCGACTCCCTATTAGTTTCTTACAAAAAAGCATAAAGATAGAATCAATTCTAATTCAAGGTCCCCTAAATAGTCAGGAAATCCTAACACACCTTTAAAAGTGTAAAGTCCTAGGCTTTTAAAAGGCCATAGGCATAGAGGAAGTGGGATCCCCAACGACGGGTTTTCCTCCTCACACCTATTAATTCTTTTTTTCAATCTCCCTTTTCCCATGCCTTTTGTTATGTCCGAATAAACTAACATGCTCTCAAAATTATGTCGAATATATTATGTTGTTTTAAGCATGGCTACATTATAGAATTAGGAGTGAAAGCTCAGGTTTTGGTTTGGATTTCGGCCAAGTCCAAATTAAATCCGAGTTAGAATTTGGTATTTGGATTTTGAGTCCAATCTACTACAATTTCCACCAAGTCTAATCTAATTCAATCCGATTTATGACTAATTACATTAGATCCAATCCAAAAATCGAAATTAATGAAATCATTATTTTTTTCAGCATAATGACCTAAAGCCTTGTTCACAAATAATAAAATAACCTTTCTAAATTCAATCTTTGATCCACAAACCTTACGTAAGTCTTAAATCTATATATTTCTCCTAAGAGTTTAACTAAAATTCTAAAAATATAACACCAACATGTTGTAACACTTAAAGGTTGATCATTTATCTATATAATTTTGGTCTAATTAGATGTTTTGTATCTAAACACCCTAAATTCGATTAAATCCCGTAATTGGATTTTTATTTTTTATTTATTTTTTAATTATTTTTTTTAAAGAAAAAAAGAGTCAATTCTAATCTGATTTAAAAAAAAATGCATTTCGAATCGGTGATTCGGTTTGGATTGGACTAGACATCATCACTAATTCGGTTTGGATTGGACTAGACATCCAAAAAAATTTCACCCGATTATTAGTAGCCATGCATTGAAATCAACCTTGATATTGAAAGCACTTGTGGCTCATTGTGCCACTTTTACACAAGACATAAAATAGAACGTAAATATTTTGTAGAGTTTCATTTTGAGGGAATGGGAAGAACATATATGGCAACATGGGACTACTACAAAAAGAAACCAAAACTTCCAAATATGGACAAGCTGAACAATTCTCCTAAATTAGGCCAGCTATTAGACTTCCATTGGCTTCAATTAATAGGAACTAATGCGATTAGAATTAACTCTTGCATACACCTTTCTAAAAAGAAGTTTCTATTGATCACTCGAGAGCCATTATCTCTAATATGCTTGATTCATCAGTCTAAGTTTTTATGGTTGGATTCTTGGGTTTTTGTTCATCTTATAATACTTGTCTAGCAAATTTTTGTGAAAAAGTTGAATATTAGTCAAGAAGTGAACTTTGTGCTAATTTGGGAAAATGTTATTTTATGTTTGAAGAATGATTTTTGCTTGGTCATGTGGTTTCTAGTTGGTGCATCGGGGTTAATCGTGCCAAAATGACATCATTGATTGTTTCCTGCCCAACTTATATGAAGGGGGTGAGGAGCTTTCTTGTGCACATGGTTTTGTACCGGTGATTCATAAAGAAATTTTCAAAATCTCAAAGCCAATCACATTAAAAAATGCCCTTTTGTGATTGTTATGATTTCTTGTCAACTTCTTTCGAGAATTTTTTAGTTATTTTAAGCGAGTATAGAAGTGTCATTTGGTGCACCATTTACGACATTAAAGAAATAAGTCCCTCTTTGTGGATGCATAGAATTTTGCTTGATGATGATCATGCCTCTTTGATTAAGTACCTAAGAAGGCTCAATCCAAACACTAAAGAAGTGGTGAAAAAGGAGGCTTTGAAAATTCTTGATGCAGGCATAGGGTGTCTTATATGGAAAGTGGGTTAATCTAATTCAAGTCTTTCCAAAGAAAGGAGGAATGATTATCATTAAGACCGACAATGCTAAGTCCATTTTTATGGTCATTGGATGGAGAATGTGTACTAATTATAGAAAACTAAACAAATCCACTCATAAGGATCATTTTTCCCTCCCCTTTATGGATCAAATATTAGAGAGATTAGTCAGTCATAGTCACATTTAAATGGATTGGTGCTCAAATTCTTTCAAATGTCGATTTAAAATAGTCCTTCCGGGTGGACTCTGTAGTTTTCTACGATTGATACACATTCTCCATTTGGTGACTAGAAATGGCCTCATGTTCAATCTTGGTGATAGTCATGCCTCCTTTCGTTGGAAACACTTCAAGTGGATTAACCCACTTAGTATAAGAGATAGGGTAAATTATGCTCGCATCAAGAACTTTCAAAACCTCCTTTTTCACCACCTCTTTCATGTTGGATTGAGCCTTCTTTGGTGCTCAGTCTAAGAGGCATGATTATCTTCAAGCAAGATTTTATGCTTGCACAATGAGGACTTATCCCTCACCTTTGTCCGTGTTGCTAAAAAACAACATTGCAGAAACCGGACACTTGATCTACAAGTATGCATGGACGTGGTAAATACGGTATGAACGTGTAACCTGGATTCTTTCAATAACTCAAGATGCTTCTGCCATAAGTGGCACTGACATGCCAAAGTGAAATCTTCAAGTAAATCAGTGCTACTTCCCTACCTGAAGTGTGCATGGATGTTCACAGTTAAGCACAAATGTGCCAAATAAGTTCAGCTTTCTTCCTCTTTGTTTCCTTTCAAAATTGTTAAAAGAAGAGATCGAGGTGCATCCAAGCACTTCAATATGCACTAAAAACATTGAAGCACCCATGTAAAGCACAATAAACACAAGACACCCGAAATAGAGATAATAGTGGCCTAAAAAGAGGTTGAGTTCTCACAAAAGTAAAGGCCAAAATGCACTCTAAATTTATACAGATAAAAAGTATCTATAACGTATGGCTACTCTGGAGATTAAGTAGTCTTTACTTACAACAATCCTCATAAAAGAAAATATTAAGGTTTAAACATCCAGCCTATATAGTCATCAACCAAGTTTGGACCCTTTAGACCCAAAATACAACTTAGGAATTAAAATAGCACATATGTATAACCCACATCTTAACAGTAAGATATTAACATGCGTAATCAGCAACAGAACGACTTTTCTAGAATGGATTTTGGATTTGTCATTCCGCACGTTACTTATGCTGTCACAAAATCAAGTCCATTTTCCCTCGCCGTCCGTTACGTAACGGTGATTGGCTACGTTAGAACATTTTTCACCCGTTACATCTGTTCTTTTATTTATTTTGACCAAAATATCTGAGTAATTAATTGTATATCTTATAAACAAAATATTTTAAGTAATCTTCTGCTTACCAAATATGTTACCCACCATTATTTTGATAGATTTGATTATATTATGTGAAGGGATACATTTTTATACTAAAAAAAGATGAAGTAGATAGCGATTCTACTCATTAATGCAAATTACTTGAAAATATCCTCACTGCATTAGCTGCGATCTGTTCTATTCGTTCGTAACAATCCATTTCTATGACAACACAATTGCAATTTGTATAAGCCTATAATATGTATTCTCAATCCCATGAGACACAAAGTTGGATTTTCCATTTGTATAAAAATTAAGCCTAAAGATTCAATAGTCTCATATGAAGGCTTTTTATCAACCGTTGTGTTAATTAAGGGTTTCTCTGACTTGGAAGAGGATTTCTTAGAGACGGAGACTCATCAGAAGCATATACCAATTGATGAGTTAAAAAGAATGAAATTAAGATTTCAAGTCATTCTCATACCGTTTTCTCTATGTATTTACTGTGAAAGGTTCTTGTTTTGAGTATTTCTTGTAAATTACCCACTGTGTAGAAAGATGTTACACTAGTTCATTTTCATAGGTTTTGGAGTTTGTGTTTGTGTCTTTGTCATCGATCAAATTGCAATATTACTTAAAAGTTAAGAAAAATATGGAGAGATTTCCAAAAAGTTCCATCTATAGATCCTTGCGTCTTTTCTAAAATAAGTAATCACTTACTCACAGATTAGACTGGGAGGAGAATCGTAGAATGTCTTTCTTTTTTAGAATTTAGCATGTAAATGATATGAATGATGTACATCTGTTTTATTTTCCCTTTTTTCAGCAAAATAATACTTACAAATGTATCACCAAGTATAGGCTAAGCTTACTTAATCGAGGGTATTCTCCAAAATTCCAGAAACAAAAGTGTGCAAAAACTGATAGAGATTACAATTCATCCTTTGCAGCCCTGGGGAATTAGTAGAATGACTTTGAGGGGAATGGAAGAGATTTAAAGGCAGTCTGGAAAATCTAAGGCATCATATAACCTTAAATGTAACAAAGGAAAAAGAATTTAACAAAATTCTAAAAACAATATATGAGCAGATTTCATTGACCAAAGTAGTTAAGATTGAGATTCTACTTTTGATCGCCAAGGATTGCGTGAAAGTGAATTGTAGAATCAAGTTGCAGTATTTTAAGATTCTGCATAACGCTAAAATTTGGATTATACCATTGTATAATACTAATAATCATTCATCTTTGAGGTTTAATGTACGAGAAATCATCCTTTTAACTCTATGTATCAAGCTGCTATGAAATATATAGTGAAATTATCTGGATTTCTTGGATTTTGTCGACTTGAAGGTTGTTATTATCAACAGCACATGTAGGTCATATATGAATTCGATTAGTGAACAACAGCATGTTAGAATGATTTTATCATTTCAAGTTACTATCGTAGGATCAAATCAATGGATGGTACTATTATAAAATTGTATTAAGATTGTGACACATCAAATGTTTTCCTGTATCTTGATAGGATTATAAGATTATGCAAAACTAAGATCCTACTTAGAATCAGAATCGATCATCTATTTTGAAATTGCTATTCTAACAATCATGTCTTTGACCCTTTTTCAATGTTTCTGTTTCAATAGATGTCCAGGATGCAATCACAGAAAGGAGGAAGTGGTTCTTTTAGATCGTCTTTCCAGGAGGAAGCACGTAGAAGGTACAGACAGCGGATGCAAGAAGAATATGAAGAAGAGCTGGAGAGAGTGGTAAGATCTTCTGTTTTATGGGTTTCTCTGAATCAGTTCCTGCCAAAATTAAATTGTAATTGCCAAACTGACCTTTTTGGAGTCAGCTTGATTGATTTTTTATTTTTTAGTTGTTAAAAGGTGGCACATGCTTATTAAGAATAGTATAACACTTTTCCTCCTAATGTCAGTCTTTTTTTTGATTTATCATGTTGATGTTTTCCCTCGTAGTGGCTGAGGAGTGCATTTCTTGAGTTTTTTGTCAGCATTTTTTTTGTAGGTTGTTGTCACTGGGATTTGCTGTCTTATGTTTTAGGTTCTGATGCATTCTCTTATACCTTTGGTTCATACTTCATAGATGAGTGCATTTGCTGATTCCTGCTCCTTGCTTCCTTCTAGGAGGAGGCATGGAGGAGGTTTTCAGCTGTTGCTAGATTATGAAGATAAGGTAAGATACTTGCTAAATGGGTTTGTGTGAAGGAATTTTTTATTATCTTAAGTTGAAATTTGAAACTTCCCAAATTTTATTTGAAGCCCACTTGATTGATATTTTAAATCAACTATTATTTTAAAGCAATGATGATACTAATTGAGTCATATTATACCTCACTCTGCCTCTTCCTTCACGGTATCGTTGCATTCTCTTAAATGTTTGTTATACTCTGTATAATTTTCCGAGTTCTTGGATGTTTGGTGTCTAACTAATTTTATGCTGGCGCAATTTCTTGTGTAGAGTGAATTTTCACAGTGCCTGTTTTGTAGATTCTTACATATTTCAATTGGAGAGTCATTTTTGCTGTCTTCCTTATTGTTTACTTTTCTTGTTTGTGCCTTATTAATGGTCTTCTTTGTATTTCTCTCTCTCTCTTTTTTTTATTTTTTTTTATTTTTTATTAGGAGCGTATACGTCGTATGCAAAGTGTGTTCAATAGAGAGAGAAACAAGTATAAAAGAAGCTATGAGAGTTGGAGAGAGAATGAGACTGGTGGGTATAATCAACATTTTCAGAGGGAGGACTGGTATTGGACAGCTGAGTCATCCTTTAGAGATCGGAAGGCAAACTATAAACAGACGCCTCAACACAGTGGATCTTATTCTTTATCTCGCCACTATGCAGTCTTAGGCCTCGACAGGTAAAAGATTAGTTCTGTTCATCCATTGGAACTTACGATATGTATGGGAAGCATCTGAGTTGATGATCATTTCATATAGGTCCTTGCTTATATGACACGGGAGTAATTTATTAGGGATGAAAAGATATTAACAAATAGAGGAAAATAATTTCTTAAAACAAAACCTAAAGAGACAAATATACATTCAAATCTTGTTGAAGAAGTTGTTGTTAAGACCAGCCCTCATCATTTATTACTAATCAACTTTATTTATTATTTTTTCTCTATTCCAATATTAAAATATATTGGGCCACTGGTCTTTGATCTTTACTTTTTAGAAAGGTGCCCATTTTTTGAAATATGACATTAGCATGATCTTTCTAAACCTATTACAAAAGATCCCACAACCAAACCCGTTTAGAGGGTGTTTGGTCAAGTAGTTTAGGTATGAGGTATTGGTTTAGAATAGGTTAAACCCATATCTCGTGTTTGTTTAAGAAATTTTCAATTTTCATAGAAACCCAAGGGGTAAGGTGGGTATGACTCATACCATGCCATTAATCAAATAAAAATAATGCCCATTCTGAAAGATAACCAAATACATGGTATTACGTATCAAGTTCCAACCTCATCCCATCCTGATTTTATTCTTGATCCAAACCCATACCACTATGTGAACCAAACATCCCCTTAGAGGTTAAATCAACTTTGAAGCTAGGCAAATTTTATCCCTCTTTTCCCAGCACCATCATTGTTGTAGCCTAATTCCCGCAATGACAAGTGGCAGAAGGCCCAAAGTCAAGTGCCATGTGTGGCTCCTATTATCAGGCGCATTCTTAGCATCCTAAGGGAGAAATCAGCATTTTTCTTCTCTGATTTAATTAATTGACATCAGGAGATGTGACATGTGTCATTTGATGGTGCTATCTCACAAATTCTGTAAAAGGAAAGTTGAAATCTTGTGTGAAGACATGTGTCTCACCTAACGCAACCAAAGGGGGTGTAAGAACCCTACGCAAGAATGCCATTACAATAAATTCGAGTTAGGACATGTTCTCTTCACCTTAAAAAATAAATATTCAGTAAAAGTAATTTTATTTGAGTAAATATAAGTTTAGTTCAACAAAAATTGATTTCAATTTAGTAAAAATAATTTTTAATAAGTAAATCTCAGTAACTTCAAAGAACAAATATATAATAGAGATTAGAGAATCAGCAAAAATAAGGTTTAATCAGTAAAAATAATTTCAGTTCGGTATAAATAATACTATATGTTAAGTAAAAATAATTTAAGTTCAGCAAATTTTTGTGAAGCAAATATAAGGCAAAGAGAATAGGGCCTTCATTGATGGATTGTATGAATTTCATATTAAATGTAATGGCTAGACCTTGATTGTATGGTAATGACATTTGAGTTGTCTAACCATGTACTGTATTGTATATTCTGTATCCTGATTTTTGATATATTATGCGACTGCCAGATTGATATATGTGAGCTTAATAGTGACAAAGATTTATTACTTTGACCTGACACTATATTTTTGGAGCTACATCATGCTGTACAAGCAATTTAAAATTGAATTCAAAAATAGGAGCATGCCTTGGCGATTATTAAATGTGTTATTAATGTTGTTTTGTATAATTTTTTTTTTTTAATTGGAATTTAAGTTCATTTTTCAACTGAATTACATTTAAAATAAAGGAAATTAATTTACATTAGATCTAAATGAAGATTTCCATCTCAATAAGTTCCATATGATTAGGAATGGTTTTTGAACGGAGCTTCCACTCCTGACTTGCCATCTGTAGTTCATAAAGTTTATGTGAATGACTTTGTTTGTTACAATGTATATTAAGTTTATCTTATGGGAGAGTTCATCGGACTCATCATCCACAAAGCCTTACAAAGATATTTATTTTTTGGTTAGTCATTGTCCAATTGGAGTGACTAGTACAACTTAATACTAATAATATGCTCCCATGTTGTGGACCTTTTAGTACAACTTCACGGGGAAGGGGGATTTGGGGGTGTATACACTTAAGGACTTAGGTGACCAAGGATATTCTCCTATGGGTGTGGTTCCAAAGTGAAGGAAAAGAAAAGCAAGTACTCTCCTTTAAAGATGGATGTGTGTAAATGGGGTTGATTTTTTGCATGAAAGTTTGCAAATGACAATAGTTGTATCAAAGGTTAGTTTTCAAAAATGTTTTAAATAGGATAGTAGTTGAGCTTACAAGTGTTGCTGTTTTTATGTTGCTGTTACTATTGTTTTTGATCAATTAAGGGCATGTAGGATTATGAGTTCGTAAGAAGGATAGAAGAGGATCACATCATCTAGCTTAGGAGATCTTCTAGTTTAATGTTTTGTATAGATTAAAAAATTAATGATTACTGTTTTGTTTGATTGAGGTGTACTAAATAGGTATCTTTCCTTACTATATTGATTATGCTTTGACTGTTAGCTTACTAAAATAGTGATGGATCACATTATTTATTATTTTGGCTTGCATTTAGTTAATGTAATAATTAAATGTGGTGGTGGCTGCTCCTAATTTAGAATTGCTCTTCATCGATGTTGAGTCAGTTTTATTTGTCACTATTAATTATTAAAAAATTTATGGTTTTACGATCAATATATGTTAGAAATTCTGGAATCTCTTATCTAATATTCCTAACATCCCAAAATAATGTCACTGCTCTTGGGCGCAAGATATTCAGATGAGAATTTATAATGGAGTTTTGTTGATTATCTAAAGCAAAGATGTCAAGGCCTATTATGTTCACTTTATTTTCACTTATTTCAGGTTAAATAAATTTAGGAAAAATAAGTTTTAGGTAACTGATTTTTTTTTATTATTCAATTGAGTACAAGATGAGGGAGAATCGCTTAAGATGGTTTGGCCATGTAAGAAGGAGACTAAGTGACGCTCCGTTAAGGAGGCTTGAAGAATTGCAAAGTGTTGGGATCACGAGAGGTAGGGGAAGACCTAAGAAAACTTGGAAGATGGTGATTGAGAGTGACATGAGAGCTTTTAGGATCGAGGAAAATATGGTGTTGGATAGGGCGGTGTGGAGGGAGAAAGTTCACGTCAACGACGTGTCATGATTATATATACTTTATAAATTTATTTCCGTATTTAATTTTATTTTTAGCCCACCAATGTTTTATGAACTGTATTGTTTTCTTTGCTAAAGTTATCTCAAACCTTTATGTTTTCTACTTCACCACTCTTTTAAAACTTTTTTATTTTTCTTTAATGCTCTTTCATTTACTCACCTTTTTTCAAACTCTTTTAATGATGATTTTGTTATGTCCTTTATATCGTACGATTTCTTATGACGATTCATGTTAGCCGACCCCAAATCATTTTGGGAGTAAGGCTTTGTTGTTGTTGTTGTTGTATTTGATGAGAGTAAGTGAAGATATGTTGATTAAAATTTGAATATAAATTGCAGGATAGGGGTTAGTTAATTATTTTTGTATATGTGGAACTGTTGGTCTAACCCAAAGTAAGAAATGGGAACTTTATTTGGGGACAGAGAGAGTAAAGATTTGTAACTGCTACTCTTGTTACTAGAGTTGTCAAATAGGGTAAACGGGTTGGGTTTGGGTCTGGTAGTGTGGGTCACGTCAACTCAGGTCGGGTCAATTCAAGTTAATGTTGTAACCTATGCGGGTCGGGTCATGCTTGAGTCGGGTCCTACATCTTATCGTGTTTGGTTCGGATTTAGGTCGGTCAATAACAGGCCAGGTTACATTCGAGTTAGGTGAATGTGAATAATAGGTCGGGTTTAATTCGGATTTTAACGGGTTAAAACGAGTTAGGGTCATTCTCGGGTTCAGTTCAAGTCAATACGGATTATAAACAGGCCGGGTCATGTTCAGGTTCGAGTCTGAAATATTGGGTTAATTTGGGTCTCGGGTTGATTTCAAGCCGGGTCATATCGGGTTTGGATTAATGGTTCATGTATTGACGTTCACCTTTAATCATTATCAATTTCTTCATTTATTGTAAGAGAAATAATTTTAGATAAGTTCAAATATAAGGTGTTGACATTAATTTGGTTGTGCCAATTTAATACTCCATTCTTTATTATTAGCTTAATGATTCGGATTACAATCCTTCTCAATCAACTAGCTTCATTAAGGGAGACATTTTAAAGCATTAATGTGCTAAACTAGATTACTAGCTATATTAGATCAGAGTATAAGAGTTAAGATATGTGTGTGGTGTGGGAAAGTTGATTTAAGGAATCAATGTGTAAGCAATGTTAAAGGTAGATTTGTCAATTTGAGTGTTTGGGTCGAGTTAGATCGGTTCAGGTCAATTTGAGTAAATTGCAGTACTATTCGGGTCGGGTTACATCAGGTTTGGGTCGGGTTAAATACAAATCGGGTTGAATTCGAGTCGGATTGGTAACAGGTCGGGTTGAATTCGGGATTGGGTTAGTAATATGTCGGGTTGATTTCGGGTTTCAATGGGTCAAAGCGGGTTTGGGTTAACCTCGGGTTCGGGTCGGGTTTGATTCAGGTAAATAATTGACGGGTTACATTCGGGTCGGGTCATGTTTGGGTTTGGGTCACGAATCCTAATGTTAACTCGGGTCTCGGGTTGGTTTTAGGTCGGGTCATATTGGGTTCGGGTAAAATTTTCGGGTCAAGTCAGCTTTTGACGGCTCTACTTGTTACTGTGTGTTAGTATTTGACCATTTTATAGGATGCAGTGTGTGCCATATTGCCTGTATAATTGGTTGTATCTTTTTCTTTGAAGTAATGGAGGCGTCCTTTTGAATTTTTCTTGTTGAAAATTTTTAGAAGGTTGCAGGTTTTTTTTTGGTTCCATTATTGTAAATTTTTGTCTTGAATGGTTCCATTTACAAGTCTGTGAAGAATGCAGAAACTGTGACAAAGTTGAGTCTGTGGGCAGAGTATGTCTAATTGAGATGTGTCCTACCATATTCTACTTTCACTTCTTCTTGGAGTTGTGCTATATGGGCTTTAAAATTTGTTTATTTGTGCCCTCAACTACGTAGATCAGGCTATTTACAAGTCTCAATTTGTATCTACTTTGTTTCTGATATGTGCTTTCACATACTGCCTTCATTTTGAAATAATTGTTGCACTATAGTCTTTTCCATTTTATGTCAATGGTCACATTATATATACATCAATCCAACTCCCCTACAAGAATTGTATCCTTTTTTTTTTTCTTATTGTTTTCTTACAGGGTTCCACGTTTTTAGTCTCTTACTTTCCAATCATTTCCTTGGTTTTGATGCATATCGACGTGTAACTGCTTTATTTGTACATTTAACATAATGTTAATGCTTGTTAAATTGACTTGGCTTATTCATATTTGCAGGCTAAGAACAAAACCATACACAGATGATGAGATAAAGGTACATAGTGCTTTCGTAATGTTGCAAATTTATTTAAGGCTGCATTTGGAAGCATGAAATTCATTTCAAATGGTGGAACTCAATTTCAGAATTTGAAATCTTGGAATTCAATTCCATTAACATGTGTTTGGGAAACATCAGAATTTCAATTCCAACATTTCAAATTCCAACTTATATTTGGAGGTGAATGGAATTTGGAATCAAGGTATTGAAATTTTCAGGAGTAAGATGTTAGTCAATGATGGATATTTTTTAGAATTTAAAAAATTAGCAAAATCATAAAGCCTAAAATTTTGAGAAATATGTGATTGTTGCATAATAGACGAAGATTTAGATTAAATTACAATTAAAAACTCTTTTTCTAAGGTTAAGGCTCCATTGACGAGTGAAGGATTCAAAACCTTAATTAGCATTAGGAAGAAGTTGTATGCTGCCGGCGATTTTAGTTGGAGGAGAGAGAATCATGGTGGTTAGGTTGGTGGTAGTGGAGGAAGAGAGAGTCATGGTGGTTGGGACGATGGTAGAGGAGAGAGAATTAGTTTGGGAGAGGAGAGAGAAAAAGTACTCTCGGACTATTAGTGGCTTTGTGAGGTAATTGCTAAATATTGAGCTAACTCTAATGGTTGCCAAGGAGAGAGAAAGGGAAGAGAGCAACATAAGAAATTGAAATGACAACATTTGAGATGGAATTTCAAATTCAATGAAACAGTCTTATTCCTCTAAGGGCTCGGATTTGGGCAAACGCAAATCCAAATTCTTGAATTATCCAAACAAAAAGTTGGCCCAATTCTAGGATTATGAAATCCATGACCCAAAATAGACCATTAATTTTTTATTAATGTCCAGCACTACCTTTTTTTTCCCTATCTGTTGTAAACCACACCCTAAAATGAGAACAGAGAACTAATTGGGGCCATTAGATCATCCGAATCGGACAATCAAGCTGCTTCTCGTGTCATTAGTGGCACTTTTGTAATTTTGCAACTTCTCAAACTGATTCTTTGTTTATTTTAAACCATTTTGATATACTTTTAAAACGACTTGATTTATTTTTTGTGGTTTTTTCTCTACGTACTTTTAAAATCAGGTAACTTATCTAAAATAATTTTACCTCAAGAGATTTAAAATTGTATAGTTAATGCAACTTCATGATTATTAGTGTTTTGTTCATGAAAAGCTGAATAAAGATCAAGATAAAGAGTTGCAAATATGAATACTCGTAATACACTAAAATGAATATGCTTTACTCTAATGTTTATTTGCTTTACTTGTATGGGATGAAATTGATTTTCAGTTCTCATTGGAATTTCTCTCGCTACAAATTCGTAGTTTTTAGAAGAGTCGAAGGGAAATAGAAGGATCCAGTTTCTTTTCAATTATAAACAAAATCCTGTCAAAGGTAGTCCTTCCTTCCAAAGTTTTGGAGGAAAACACAAGCCCTTTTCACAGGTTTAAAGGAAAACATAAATCCATTTATTCCTTCCCTTCCATTACCTCTCTTTTTCATCTCTTTCCCTCCTCCATTGCTTCCGTAAACTTTGTTTCAATAGCACACCTTAAACTGTGTGATCCATATCCCTCGACTCTTAGTCCCCTAATAATATCCATATAAATGAAATGAACCCATCTCTTCCCTCCCTCCCCCTTTCAAAGCCAAACCCATGGTAAGACTTGCTGGATTCTCTTTTTATTCTAGTTACTGAAATATATGGGATTGAGTTCCAATTCGTGTTTAATTGATGTACACTTTGGCAGTCTAAATTTTTTGTTAAAAAAAGTTCTATGCTTAATTGTATAGCTTCAGCTTCCGGGTACTTTTATAACATGTATAATTATTTTCAGTTGCATTTGTAATTTCAGTGAGGGAAGATGAGCATGAATCATGATGTGATTTAATGTACTACTATTGGAAATTAACACTGGTGTGAGATATAATTATATTTTTCTAACCTTGCAGTCAGCCTTCAGGGCAAAGGCATTGGAGTACCACCCTGATCAGAACCAGGGTAATAAAGGTGAGAAGTTATATTCCGTCAAGTCGAATGGTTACTTTAGCCTTTGGTGGATTATTCTCTTTTGCTGTTCACTGACAAATACATTGGGTGTTAACAGAGGTTGCTGAAGAAAAATTTAAAGAGGTAATGATGTCATATGAGGCTATAAAATCGGAAAGGAAGATTGCAAAGTAGTAAACAAGTGGACAGATCAATGAGTAGTACACAAATGTGTCTTGAATACATCCTTTGAGCTGTGTGGTTCAAGAGCAAGTGTTTTACTCTAGGATGCTTCTTTCATCGATCGATTCTGTCAGCTTCTCAAAGTGTGAGGGACTAACATGTGAGCCCTTTGGCTTACCACAGGGTGTGACAATAAAAACGAAAATTTCATAGATGATCCCTTTTATGTATAAATCTACACTTGAGTATATATGTATATTCTGGTGATCATCAATGTTGTAGTGTTTAAGTGAACCATCCTTAGGCTGTACCATTTACCCATTTGTTCAAAACATCGACCGAATCATAGAGTAAAGACAGTTGGCGATGTTTGAAGTTTTGCAGAAAACATGCAGGTATACCATGGTGTTGCACATAACAGTTTCAATTAGTTACAATAAATGATAAATGATAATAAAGTTATGTTCGATTATTTATGGTTTTACACTAAAAGAATTTTAATTAGTTACAATTAATGATCAAAGTTGTGTTCCAATTATCTATGCTTTCTGTGATCAGTTGGCCAAGTCTCTTATATTCAGGTGAGAGACTTGGATTCGATGCTCATCAAACTCACCTTGGAAGGATTTCCCTTATTTCCACCTCTCAAGGTGAGTGTTCACCTTACCATTAAAATAAAAATTATCTATACTTGCTAGTAAAAGCTTATACTTTTATATTGAATATTTATGCTTCATTTGTTGTACTTTCTTGTCAAAAAGTTTAGCATATTGTGATCAGTTATTTATGATTAACTAGCTATACTTATCAATAAGTCTCTACTAGATGAAACCTATGCGATTTATGATTTGTTTGTACTTTTTCAAATAAAATATTTTACTAAATATATAATTATCTACAAAAATTTGTGATATTCGTTTGCTTACTACTTGAATTTGTTTTTTTAATTATAAAATGAATTATTAATTTTGTTTCCCGTATTTAGATAAAATTCGTAATATAAAAAGATAATATTTTATTTCATAAAGTTTCATATGTAGCTGGTCACACCGTGTAGTGGAGATTACTTAGTCAGGGGTTGCTTGGTTGGTCAAGGATTAATCAATCGATCAGGGGAACTCGATCAGGGTGTGTCTCAGCCGGCCACACGAAATGGTCAACCACACACAAAACGCGCTGATTTTATTTTTATAATTAATTTAAAATTTTAGATCTAAAATAAATTGCAATTCTTTTTTTCATTAGCTAAAAAATAACATTTTCCTATGTGACGCTCTAAAAAACTTTCCTTTATGTAATTTTTGTAAAAATTTATCATATTGTCAGTTCCATTAATCACCAAAATAAATCATTTAATTTTATTCATGATAATTTCTTAAAAATAATAATCTTATGGGTCGCTCTGATAATTTTTTATTTTTTTTATTATAATCGATAGTTTTTTATTTTTTTTATTATAATCCTATGTAGCGCTTTTAAAAAATTAATCTTACGTGGCATAATCCTATTATAGCGTTTTAAAATTATTAATCATACGTGACGCTTTTTTTTATTAATAAATTACGTAGCGCTTTAAAAAAATAACTAATCTTACATGGCATAATCTAATTGTAGCGCTTTAAAAATATTAATCATAGGTGGCGCTCTAATAAATTTTTTAAAACTTAAAATCCTACGTAGTGCTCTATAAAATAGGAAAAAAACTCCCCTTTATATATATATATATATATATATGTATGTATATTGGTACCCGTATGTTGTATGATGATAAATAATTTAACCTAATTTATATTATATGATTAATCATTATCATATGTTTTTCATTTAGTGGGATTATAAAAGTTTACTTGTTCTTTTGCTTCTTATAATGTATTTATTCCATAATCAAATGAGTGTATTGAAGTAATCAAAGAATCAATTTAGTTTTGTATGTGGCTTAAATTTTTTTTTTTAGAATATATTATCAATACTTCCATCTAGAAATACCATCTCAATGCTATATATCATAGTCATCTGGATAATCAAAGTTTGGTGATCAAAGTTTGGTGGCTTCTTATAAGCGTATTATTCGTTTCTTAATTGTCATATTTTCCTTCATTGGAGTTATGTCTTCAATGAACTCATATTGTTGTGCAGACATTTTCATATATCTTGCAAGATGAGAAAAGTCGCTACCGAATAATCATAATAGTTGACATCAATATGGGTAAAACCAAATTGCAAATTGAAGTGTGGAAGACAAATATTTTCGTACCTTCAAATACATAAGACACACATTGAACAAAGGTAATGTTGAAAAAAATACAATGCACATACATATATTAAAACAAAACACCAATCGCTTTGGATAATTATTACTTTTTTTATTTACAACTATCATCACAATTAAATAGGAGGGAAATTTGGATAATTAAATAGGAAATTTCTTTGGATAATATAACGTGAAAACAATTCAATTTAGCATTGAGTCCAAAAGTCAGACACTTTTCATTTTGATAGTTTCCGTATTCATAAGTTATAGGTTATTTTTTGAATGAATATTGGTTATCTTATGAACTTTGATGGTTTTCGTATTTATAGGCCAACAACAGTAATAGTAGAGTATGCACTATTATCTTATACATGTTATTATACACATGTAGTGTAGTTTTTTAAAAAATAAAAAATAAAAAAAATCATTAATGACATCATACAATAAAATGGCGGGAATTTTTTTAATGAGAATGTGACCCATAAGATAGGAAGGGGGATGTATGATGTCAGCAACGTTTTGTTTTAGTAATTTTTTGGTGAAGAAAAAAAAATACTAAAACAAATGGATAATAGATTTGTGATCAAATGGTTTTTTTTCTTTATTTTTAATTTGGTTTTTTAAATACCTATATATTTATTTATTTTTATAAATAAGTTATGGATTTGGAGTAGTAAATATAATTCTAATTTGATTTAAGAATAATAATTTCTTAAAATCATATATATTTTTGTGTTAATATAAATGATTTTAATAAAACTATTATTAATAATTATTAGATTTATAAATTATTAATATTTACAAATGCCGTGGTAATAGCTGAAATCTTCAGGTATATAATTACGAGTACAATTTTATGAATACGTAATAGTTATGATGTTCTTTTTAATAATTACTCTCCTGATTTTATTTATTTATTTATTTATTTATTTATTTGTTTTAGGCCCATTTGTAATCTTGAATTAGATGAGAAATTAACTCCGTAGATTCTTCAATTTGACATATACAGGGTAAAACCCAATGTATAAATATATCTATGTGAAATCTTGTTAGATTTGTCTTAATGCCTAGTTTCAAGAATCAACTGTTTATTAGGCAGGCGTAGTTAAATAAATTAATTTTAAATATATGCATTGGAAAGTGTTCCAAAGAAATGGGGCCAATAAAATGCATAGAAAGGACTACAATATATAAGTTGATGATTATTGGCTTATTAATTATGCTTTGCGGGATCATAGTTGTCAACAACATGAGAATTAATTGACCAAACTTGAAGCTAACCAACTAAAATTTAATTTGATTTGATTTGATTTGATTTGATACAGTCCTGTATGATCCAAATCTGGTACTCCTTCCGTCCCCGAAAGAACGACCCTTTTGGGTTGATTTTGCGTGTATTAAGAAAGTTATTGGAAGTATAAGAGTGTATAGGGAAGCTAAGAAAAGTAAATTGAAAAGAGAAATTTACATTGGAATTGCAAAAAAGTAGATAGAGAAAGTAATAAAAGTATATAGAAAAAACAAAATTTGCATGGGAAAGCTAATTTTGCACAAATATTATTGCAAATTAGAGTGTATTAAAATGCAAATGGGATGAATATTTTGGGACTAAAATTAGGCCAAAAGGGTCGAACTTTTGAGGACGGAGGGAGTATAATTTAACCCTTTAAGAACTAATTTGATCACTCAACTTGATTCTTGGGCCGCAACTGTCTGAAATAGTGATGTTTGATGCGTATTGATGATGACAAATCTTACTTTTCTTGGAACTTTCTATCATTATTAGTAGTATTATTTTATTAGTTTGATTTAATTTATAATTTTTTATCTAGGTGGCCAAAATTAATTAGGACATAATTGTTGGTATGATTTGGTTATTAGAAGATAACTTAGCATTAAAGATCATATTTACAAAACTTTATCTTTACAAGTTAGGATTAGTTTTCCTCTTTGTATTAGGTTTTTTTATGCATGATATTTATTAGGCTAATTATTTAGCTTATATGTGACGGAGTTAATGAATGAGTGAATAGAAAATTAATTGATTTTGATATTTATAAAGTTTTACATAAGCTTGTGCTTGTGTACTCCTGTCCTTGTTGAGGTTAAACCTCTTGTAACTTAGTGTTTCTTGTCCGAGACTTAATATCACAAACCTTTCAATTGCGCTTGAAGGTTATATCACATTAAATCCATATCAAATTGGTTAATAGACCAGTCGAATTTTTTTTATTTATTTGCCTTGTTCTCCCTTGTAACAAAAGATTTTTCATCGATTATTTTTTTGAATTTGGATTTTTTTTGTTTATATTTCACCTGTATTATTTCAGGATTTATTGTGGTAGTTACTATTAAAGTAATTAGGTTTTTGAAAAGAGATTTGTTTTCGCATCAATTCTTAACAGAAGAAAATTTAACGATCATATCTGGAATTGTACTTGGATTTTTTTGCTTGATTCTTTTTATGTGGACTCTAAAAACAATGATCTTTCATATTGTAAATTTTCGTGAATTTTCGTTGAGTAACGAATTCGCAGCAGCACCAAACTTTAACGAACCTAATTTGCCTAGCTAGGTTGAATAAAAGTGTTTGCCGCGTTGATGGAACGAAATCAAGAAAATCAATGCAAAGATGGATAAAATTGATGAGGCGATTGAAAGGGACATCGAGAAGCTCTTAAATTTTTCTTAGGTCACAAAGGGTAATTTTTGAAGACAAAGATGAGAAATTAATTGGTTTACAAGGTGTGTCTTGTGGTGGAGAAGGAAAATATTGAACCTCTATCATATTCTAACCCTAAAGATCAAATCTAGGATTAAAAAAACAAAATGAATGATAGGGTTAATCCGGCCAACTAATAAGAATTTAACCCACCAGAGCAAAACTTAGGTCCTTCAATTAATAAATGATGCAAAAAACCTAGGTCCTTCAATAATAACATGTTATTAATTCCCAAAAATATAGGTCCCATATATGATAAAGCTAAGTCAATAAATGATGTTATTTCTTTTTCAAATTTTCAATTCTCTATACTGTAAAATAATACTATGTAATACACAGTAATTATGAAATCTCATTTATAAAAGTATTTAACGTTTTTGTATGGAATCTTTCTCTCAAAGTATTGTAATTTGATTTGCAATAATATTTTTGGCTAATATTCTACCAAAAAAAAAAAAATACAGAGTATACAAAGTATGTATATGATAAATAATCTAGAATTTTTTTTTTTGGTGTCCATTGCACAATTTTTTAATTTTTTCATAATAACATTTATATACGTAGTATCAAAATATACAGAGTACTAGCGTAAGTTTTATGCACCAACAAAAAAAGTACTACAAAGTTTTCATTTTTTTATACAAATTGATTAATTTGGCTCTTTTTTATATATGTACTAGTTTAGGACCCGTGCCACGCACGGTAACTCCAAAACAAACTATATATTAATTATCTACTTATGTATTATCAAACAAAATATGACAAAAAATCAAAGATATGAAACAAAATATTGAAGACCTAATTAAATATAAATAATACAAAATGTAAACATAAACTCATTAAATGAAGTAAAAATATAAATAAAGTAGAATGGTGAACTAAAGGTAGTTGATCACCAATCGCTTTACAATTTTTTCTATTTTTCTAATTTATTTCATGGAGTATTTAAGTAAGATACACTTAGAGTCCACAACTTGTGATGATGTTAATAATGTCTAACGCAATTTCATCAGTAACACCAACAGATGTCTCGTCAAAAAATCCATTATCCGATTCACATTCTTCATCAATCATCAACCTCTCAAGTAAAAGAACAAATTTAATCGTTAATTTATGAACAAATTTAATCTTCAGTTTCAGAACAAATTAAATTTAATCGCTAGTTTAATGATATAAACATGGTAATATATTCGTTTAAAATAATTATGCATGATACTAATTAGGACTCTCATCACAAATAGTCCACCAGACCACCACACAACAAAACAAAACTTAAGTTTTTTGACTTGTAATTAACTTTAGGCTTCTCAAGTAATTTGTATAACTTAGCCAATTAGTAGCTTTAAAAATGCAAAACGATGGAAACATAAACTTCCTTAACGTAAATGATTTGATTTACTCTAATGGATTATTGTGTAGTGATCTTTTATAAAAAAATATAGCTAGTGCTTTATTACAGCTATCGTTAGTAGCTAATTTAGGTATATCGTACAATATATATTTGACTTCCTTAATGTAAATGATTTGATTTGCTCTAATGGATTATTGTGCAGTGATCTTGCTTTTATAGTAAGAATCAAACATATTCACTGTTATAGAATATTGTTTACGTTAAAAATCAAATAAAGAATCAATTTATAATAATAAAGATAAAAAAAAGAATCAATAATTTATTATAATAAATAAACAAATATATTTATTGTTATAGAATATTTCCTATTTTAAAATATTTTCATATATTCAAATTATAGACTTATGTACTTCCTCTATTTTTTTTTAAATGCAACACACCTTTTTGACATGCTTTTTTAAAAGGTGATTCGAATAGGTAAACAAGCTACTTTATTAAAATCATATTAACACCACGATTAGAGAAGGGTTAACTAATATGTGTATAAATTATTTTGATTAATTTGTATGTTTACTTACTTTAATCACCTCCTAAAAAAGCGTGAAAAAAGGTGTGTTGCATTTAAAAGAAAACGGAGGAAGTATATTTTATAAATCAAAGTACTGTGAAATATTTTATTTAAGGAATGAGATAGTTTAACTACTAAAAAAAAAATTAAAAAGGAGGGATGTTGGAGGGAAAATAACAGCATCAAGAAATTACATGTGTTATTCCTGGTGTCTGTTTTAGTATTATGTTATTGATGTAAGTTTTATGCACCAACAAAAAAAAGTACTACACAGGTTTTTTTTTCTTTTTTTTTTTATTTTTTATACAAATTGATATATTTGGCTCTTTTCTATATATGTATGACAAAAATGATAAATAATTTCTCTATAATTATTGCTCCGTATTAATCTTTTTTAATTTGTAATAATCCTAATTAGAGAATATATATTATAAATTGGTCCACGTCCACAAATAAAGAAAAGGAAAATATTTTTGGCTTGTTAGTATCATATATTTTTTTGTTAAAGAATGATTCATTAGTATAATAAAATCCATATGTTTTAGGCTTTTAGCAATTAATATTTTTATCCAAATAGACAAGTAATTGGTCCCTTAGTATGAAATTCAATTGGTTTTTTTTTTTTTTTTTTTTTTTTTTTTTTTTTTTTTTTTTTAATTTATGTTATCTCTTTGAAGGAAAAAAAATATATAAAGATCAATAATAATTTTAATATTAATAGAGACTATTTTTCTTAGGGGACTATCTTTTTTACTCACCTTTGATTAGTATTTGGCCGGAAAAGTGATTGTAGGTCCCAAAGGTGAAAAAACTAAAAACTTAGACCCCAATGTTATACTTAAGTCTCATATATTCATATATGTTCAAAATCAAATTATATAATTAATAACGAAAAATAATGATAAATAAATTGTTTAAAATATGTTCATTGTAAATAGTTATATGTTCATTTTTAATGTACTAAATGTTCATTTCTAAAGTATTACATGTTCATTTTATTTAAGAAGAATTATACAAAATTTCGATTGTAATTATTCCAACTCAAAAAAAATTGAATATTTACCTTAAATCTAGACCCGATCATGTCAAGCCCCGCTAGGAAAATGCTCGTGTTTGGGTAGAATATTTGGGCCCGGCCAATTTTTTAAAATAAAATCAAGAAAAAAAAAACAGGTTTGGACTGCTTGAAAAGCTAATTTTTAATTAAAATTTTGGCCTAAAAAGCCCTTTTATTTGCCCGAAATATCGGGTTAGGGCACACTTTTTTTGGCCCGAAATAGGCCGAATTTTTTTTTTGCAAGGCTCGGTCAGGCCCATGATCACCTCTACTCTAATCTAATTTTGGTTCATCATATAGAAAATAATTGTCGATTTAAAACATGATTTGTTAGGAATGAAATGGCTACAAACATAAGAAAGAAAGACTAGAGAGAGAAAAATGAGTACAATCAATGGAAGTTCATCACATATTCAACAATTCAATTGATATTCCCTCAATTGGGAAAAATTTTCAGGATCTATTCGCTTAACAGGTCGATTTGTGAACAACTACTCGTTAAAAAGTTTTGTAAAAAAAAACTACCCCTAAAATTTAAGAAGTTTGGGTAGCACTACCCTTTTTCATTTTCCGGCAACTTATTCCGGCGAGTGGGACCCATTTATTATTTTTGCTCCAAAAAAAAAATATCATCACCCTCGCATATATTAACCAACCCTCCTCTTCTTTGCAAAAACTCAATCCAAAAAACAAAATCTTTGTGAAAATCGGCAATTAAACAAGGAAAAACGATTTGGTTTTCACTAAGATTTTATTTTTTGGGTTGATTTTTTGCAAAGAAGAGAAGGGTTAGTTAATATATACGAGGGTAAGGATGTATCTTTGGAGGGAAAATAACAAATGGGCTCCACTCGCTAGAATTAGTTGCCGGAAAATGTAAAAGGGTAGTGCTACCCAAACTTTTTAAATTTGGGGGTAGTTGTTTTCAAAAAACTTTTTAGCAAGTAATTGTTCACAAATTAACCTGTTAAGCAAGTAGTTCTTGACAATTTTTTCCATCAATTATTCAAATAATCAAACAATAAATCCATTATGATAAACGAAATCAAACAAATTACAATATAAATTATATCTTCTACCTTTTCCAACATTTTATCAAGAACAATTGTAGTGGTGTAATTTAAAAACAATTTTGCTCTTGAGGATAATGAGTTGTGAATGGATAATAAGAGGAGAGTGAGAGAGTAGAGAGCAAAATTGATAGAGGTAAGAAAAAAAAAAGGAAAATAGTTTATTTTTAATAAAACGAAAGAAAACCAAAAATCCTGTTCATTTTTAGAAAACTACATATTCATATTAATAGCTGGTCCAACTAGCTTAGCTGCACAAAGGAGTAGCTAAGGATTTGCGGAGGTTTTAAAAAAAATTCTATACTTTCTTGAGTTTTATAATTGAACAGATAAACTAAAGATTGAATAGCATGGGAAACTGTGATGAATTTCTGATGAATTTTACCTAGCACATATATATTGACCTTATTCCAATCGGGTTGGAAAGTAGAATTCTAGAGATTTTCAATGGTATATTATTTTCCATAATACGAGTTCGCGATCAAAAGTTGACAAACACCATATATTTATCTTGATCTGCGAGGTTATTTTCTACCCTTATATAAAACTCTTTAAAAATTAAACCATATATATAAATATATCATGGCCGATCGTAAATTCCTAAGGCCTTAATACAATATTTAAAATAAAATGATATAAACATAAATCACAATCCAAACCAAGAAAAACAAAGGAGGTGCTCCCCAAAACTTGGGGCTAAAACACGAACTACTAGAGAAATTCGTAGCCTCAAGGACTAAACTCAAGTAAGGGGTGGGGCCCTCCTGTGTACAGCACTTCATAATTAGAATGCAATTATAAAAAAAATAAGTAAATGTGAAAATAAAATGGAGGACAGATTTGTGGGGCCCTCCCTTGTCATTTTTCGTCTAGCTTGTTGTTTTTTCCGCCAAATTCATTCATAGCAGGAGTTTTATTTTTCTTCCTACCAATTCACTGCATTATTATTTCCAAAATTTTATTCTTTTTCCCACTGAATAAAATAATGTAATTGAATTTAATTTCCCATTGAATTCCTTCCAATTCATTACTTTGAGTTTTGTAAATTAGTTTTTTTAATGAAATTCAGATATTCGTTATTTGGGTTTTTGATTTGTTGTGTTGGTAATTTATTGTTCCAGATTTGGAAGGCAAAATTGTTGAATTACTTCTGCCATAACTGAAATTGTATGAAGATGCATTTTGTCGATGGATGGAGCGATGTTGGTGGTAGTCCGAGTGCACAGATCAGTGTTTTTTAAAAATTTTGCAACTCTAATTTGTTACGGTTAATGATTCATGAATGCGCCTATTGGTTTTGTAAGTAGTCAAATTATTTGTGGAATTATTAATAGTAATATTAGCATTAATTAGTATTGTTGTTGTATAGCAACTTGTATGCTTTGTATTGTAGAATTTTGTAGTTTTAATTTGTGGGTTTAGAGATGTAGTTATTTCTTGTTGCATGCTTTCTATTGTAGTATGAAATTGGGGATATAGTATATGCTATGCACGTTATAAGTATGGAGGTTGTTCTCAATTTTGACCTAGAATGTGATTTTATTGTGAGCATGTAATACCAATTAATGATTAGTTGGTATTTGATATTAATACCAACTGTCAACTAAATGGTACTATTTTGATAGTGTGTTATGATTTTCATTGAATGAGTTATTAATGGTCGTGTGAAAGTTAAATTGTTTACACATGGTCTATGTGAAGTTAAATTGTTGTTGTTGATATTGTGAGTTAATATGTTTAAGAATGTTGGGGTTTAGAACTTAGTATAAGAGTGGCGTGAGTTAACAATTTATATTTGTCCATGACAATTATGTTGATGTTGAGGCAACGACCATGGATCGAGACCAAGAGCAATACGATAGTTCATGTTCTAGTTTAGATGAGGAAAGTTTGGGAGAAATTGATGTATCCGATCATCTAGGGGGTGATGGTATTGACTTAAATCAAGCTGCAGAGGGAGGTGATGAAGGAGTGTTTCTGACAACGTTGAGGAATGTAGGATCATCTGGGGCAAATGATGGCCCGTTGGTGCCTCGTCAATAAATCGGTATGGTATTTGAAAGTTGGGAGGAGTTAAACAAGTATTACTGTAATTATGGTAAGCAACAAGGATTTGGGGTTGTTTGTATTGGTAGTGGAAAGGCGGTGAAAAAAAATTAGGTAAGTCAAAATCAATGGGTACTTATGTGTGGAAGTATTGTTATGGAAGGACAACGTATAGAAGGAAGGTGAATGAGAAGAGAACTGTTGTGTATGATGAGCCGATTGTGAAATAGAAATCCACTCATTTCTTTTTTATTTTGCTCAATTGAATTTCTGTTTGCTCATTTTTCTTTTGTTTTGCTCATTTTTTTGTTAGGGAAACAAAACGTGAATATTAATTATGATATTCTTACATTTCTTTCTGATGTTGATAAAATCAAGGACTTGAATTGGTCAAAGTATATCCTTGAGTGTCTTGTGAAGGGCAAGCTTTTCTGGGAAGAACGTTCAACTCGTTCTTTTCCTCGGTCTTTATTGTTTCTTATGGTATTACTATAATTTTTGTTCATTTTTAATGTAGTATTTCTTACTTATTTGTTGATTTTTAATTTACTAATTTTTTTTTTCTTCTTGTTTGTAGTTATTGTATGTTGATCAATTTGTACTTGAGGAAGTTCGAGCTGCACGTGAAATTCCAATCTTGAAAGGGTGGACAACAACTATGTTGTCAACACGTGAGAAATTGGAGATCTTTAAAGGGAGGCGTGGAAATATTCGTGTCAAAAAGCTTGATGCTGGTTTTTCTAGCATGACACAGCCTAAAATGGTATTTAACTATAATTTTTTATTTTATTCTTTTCCTTTTTATTCTACATTTTTAACTTTTTTGTTTTTTATTTAAGAAAAATTCATTCCTTCTGAAGTGGAAACTCAAGTAGGTGCCAATAAGGTAATCGTATGTACTGTAATATTCTTTGTTCTTTATGGAAATGACCGACTAATTTTTGCTCATTTGCTAATAAGCAAGCAATTACTTGCTCATTTTTGAAATGAGCAAATAATTTTTTGCTCATTTGACAGATGAGCAAATTATACAATTGGTTATGTCTTATAAGAAAGCTTGGTTTATATTTGTTAGGATATTTGCTTTCAACTTGTTCTAACTTTTTTTTTTTTTTTTTTTTTTTTTTTTTTTTTTTTTTTTTGGGTTTTTGTTTTTGCTTGATTTTAGGAACAATCTGATCCAATTCGTAGAGAAAAATGAAGAAATTGAACAAGATCCGAAGAAGGTATTTATATGAGTTTTCTGGAAACTTATATTAATTCTTTGCTCATTTTTAAAAATTTTGAGTGTTGGATAACTCATATTGACATTATGACATGCCTGAAGAATTACATGATAGAAGTCAGAAACCTGTATTTAGGTTGTTAGTTGGTTTAATTAGAAACATGGCAGGAACCTGTATCATTTAATCATTATCATGATTGAAGCCAGGAACCTGTATTTAATTATGAGCCATAAGCATAAGATACTAGTTATAAACCTTTTTGCTAAAAATCTTACCCACAAGACAAGTAGCAGAGGACAAGATATCATGAACAAAAGAGTTAGCTACAGGGGTAAAAGGAAACTTAGGCTGACCAGAAAGGTCAGGAGCTGAATTAGAGGTAGTATCATTAGGTGTTTTGCTAGAGGGGTGAGTCATTGGTGATGAGGAAGGTAAAACCATATTGACTAGAGGCATATGATGTCCTGGGTTAAGGTCAGGGGAAGAAATATTCTAATTTTGATATCCATGAGGAAGGGATTGGTGGGATAAGGTTTTAATGTGAGTTCCATTACAAGGGAGAACGTCAACTCCCACAGATCCTAATTGACATCCTAAATGAGCAATTAATTTTTTGCTCAATTGTCAAATGAGCAAAAACTTCAGTGCTCATATGTAGTTTAATTTGCTCATTTTTATATGACTTTGTTCATTTCACATCCACTTTGCTCATTTCATATTCACTTTGCTCATTACATATTTACTCTTTTCATTTATATTCATCTTATTATGATTTTTTTTTTTTTTTTTTTTTTTTTTTTTTTTTTTTTTTTTTTTTTTTTTTTACAGAAATGCCTTATGGAGCTTGCAACAACATCTACAAATCTAGTCTTAGCATACATGGATTTCAGTCAAAAATATGAAGTTGCCGTCAAGTATTTTCCAAACAATGAGAAGATTCAAAAGCTGAAGGAAGATACAATGAGCATTTGTGATGAGCACAAGATGAGCTCTAAAGCTTTGACTGAAGATATTCCTCTCTCATTTAGCCAAGATAAACATTATTGGCAAGATCCAGCTGTAATTGACGCTTGGGATAGGTTTTCAAAGATTTCAGGCAATGACAAGCATGCTGAATCTACAATCAATGCTAGGGTTGATCATCTAAATGAATCACAACCAATTGTTGTTATTACTAAGATCGTTGCTGAATGTGTTCACATAGCAAGTGGTATATTTGATGTTGAAACTCCATCCGTTATCATACAGCCTAGGGCTGCTGAACATGTGTTTCCAAAAACTTGGAGAGTCAAGTATCAGATATAGTTTAAGAAGTTCAGTTGCCTAAGGATGTGGAACTCCTTCATTCAGCTTAGGTATCTCTTCTCAAGAAACTGATTCTCAGAATAAGTCCCCTAGCATTGCACCTACTGATGAACTTGTAGTTGCTCCTGTCAGTGCACAAGTTGGTGCTTCTAAATCAGTTGTTGCTGCTGTTGCTGATGCTCTGAATGCTCAAGAAGATCCAATTGTGCTTAAGAGAAAAGGAGATGCTGAAATGAGAGTTCTATTCCAAAGAAGAAGCGTAAAGTGCAACCATCGCTGCAAATAAGATCTCCTTTTAAGTCTCGGATTATCAACATTTATACACCATTAACAGCAGTTCAGAAAGGTGTTATGCTCATTTTTTCATGAGAACAAAAATCGTTTGTAAGTATTTATTCAGTTTTTCAGTTTTGGAAATTGGCAATTGACCTTATTTTTCTTTCTTAAAACAAGTCTAGCTCTATATTCTCACTTTACTTATCTTCGATTGAAATTATTTTAACTTCCCTAAATCTTATATGTAGTAATCCAGGGTTTTTATGCGAGGGTAGGGGTGGCAAACGGATCAGGTCAGGTCGGGTTCGTGTTCGGGTTTTCGGGTTTCGTGTCAGCTAAATCCTAACCTGAACCTGATCCATTTAAGTTTTCGGGTTGAAAACCCCAACCTGAACCTGATATTTTCAGGTTCGGGTCAACCTGAAAACGACCTGATTTGACCTGATTTTTTTATTTTATTTTTTTAAATTTTCTTTTTGACTTTAATAACCTGATTTTTCAGCCTGATTTTGTACCAATTAACAGAATGTATTTTATACCAAGAACTTGTTTTTTTTTCAGCCTGATTTTGTACCAAGAACCTGTTTTTTTTTTTTTTTACCTAATGTTTTCAAACATGATTTCCAAACTTAAAGATTTTAAGAAAAGTAGAAAACCAAATAAAGTCTAACAAGTCTAAATACCTAATTAACTATTACATAACAAAATTAGTCTTAAACAAATTACAAACCACAATTAAAAAGAAATAAATGTTTTTTAAAAAATCAGAAATGATCAAACAATGTTCGAAGAAGCATTCTCATCAAATTGTTCAAGTTCGGGCGAGGAACGTGGTGTGTCATGATTGTCGTTGTTGTCCTCCACCTTAAGCTTCATAACTGATCCACATAGCATTTCCATTTGAGGATCCATATTTGCTACAAGAAAAACAATAGCAAATTACAATCAATAATGTATGACATGTACTAAAAATAAAAGTTAGAAGTATTGTATTACTTCATTACTTGTATAAAAAATCATTTATTACCTTCCCCAAAGGCCCAATCCCTTAAGCAAATGATAGCTTCCACCGTTTCTGATTTTAAAGAACTTCTATAACAATCAAGCACCCGACTTCCAGTACTAAAAGCTGATTCGGAGGCCACGGTTGATACGGGGACAGCAAGAACATCCTTAGCAATTTTAGCTAATACAGGATAGCGGACCGAACAAGTTCTCCAATAAGACAAAATATCAAGGTTGGTGCCTCGAGGGATAAGTGGCTCCTCATAATACATATCAATTTCAGATTTGATTGCCACACTTGATTGCTCTTGAGAGAAACTATCAAAATCCTATATACCAAGATTTAGATTACATCAGAAAATAAAAATCAGATTAGATGACACAAAAAATCAGAAAATATAAATCAGATTATAAAAATCAGAAAATAAAAATCAGATTAGATGACACAAAAAATCAGAAAATAAAAATCAGATTATAAATAAAGATGCAAACTAAAAGCTGCTGAGTTATATAAGGATTTGCTACTCAATCATTAAAACTTGGCATTTGTTTCACTTGCAATATAGGTCAATGCATCAGAAAGTTTGTTTACCATCATAAAATCATCAGAAGCTTCATTGGAAGCATTAGTAGTGGGAATAACTTTGCTTGATGAAGAATGAGTAGATTCATAAGCCTCGTATAACCTCCGTAGAGCATCCTTAACCTTAGAGAACTCAAGCTCGTATTCAATACTATGCTGACCATATATCCTCATGTAACCCCAATTGACACATTGCAACTTATATCGTGGATCCAACACCACAGCAACAGCCATAAATGTACTAAATTCTGACCAATATTTTCCAAATTTCTCATACATCTTACAAGCCATTTTTTGCATAAAAAGATCTGAACTTTTCATTTCATTTTGTAACAACAACCTAACCTGCAAGACTCTATGAAAGTAGAGATTGGAAGTTGGATATTTGGTCCCGGAAAAGGCAAGTGTGACATCATGGAAAACTTTCAAAAACTTGCATATTTTCTCAATTCTACCCCATTCTTCCGCAGAAGGACAATGCACATAATTGGCATCAACTTTTTGAAAATGAATTAAAGCTTTTTTAAAATACAAAGCACAATCAAGCATCATGTAAGTTGAATTCCATCTAGTAGGAACATCTTGTTGTAAAATTCTAGTAGATTGAATTTCAACATGTGCTACACAACTTAAAAACCTTTGTTTCCTACCTTGTGAACTCTTACAATACTTGGCACTCTCTCTAATCTTATACACAGCCGCATCAATCTCTTTTAAACCATCTTGAACAATTAAATTAAGAATGTGAGCACAAAACCTTACATGAAAATTCCCCACCATTAATCAACTCAAGTTCCCCTTTTAGATTTTCAGCAAAAACATCATTTGAAGAAGCATTATCTAATGTAATTGAAAAAATATTTTTCTGAATACCCCATTCCTTTAACAAACCATACACATGATCACATAAATGAATTCCTGTATGGGGAGGACCAATGTAAGAAAAGTTCAAGATCTTTTTTTGCAAACACCAAGAATTGTCAACATAATGAGCTGTTAATGATATATAACCATCAGTGGTTAAAGAAGTCCAACAATCAGAAGTCAATGCAATTCTACTACAAGTTGAGCCCAAAACCGCTTTTAATTTCTCTTTCTCTCTTTTATACATCTTAAGCACATCATATTTGATAGTGTTTCGAGTGACAGGTTTGAAATCAGGATGCAAATAATTAAAACATCTCCTAAAACCCTTGAACTCTACAAACTGAAATGGCATATCATGCTCCACAATAGCAATAGACAATAATTCACGGAAATAACCAGCATCAAAATCAGGCAATCTATTTCCTAAACCAGAGGATGTTTTCTCTAATATCATTTGACCAACATCCCTAAAAGACCTTTGTTTACAATTTTTCAAATGACGATGAAGATTCCCAGTTCCATTCTTACTATCACCATTAAAACGTAAACCACACTTTTTACATTTGCAAATCAGATTACCATTTTCATCAGGCTCATCTAAAAACTCAAAATGCACCCAAACACCAGAAGAAAGACGACGTGGACGTTTCTTACCAGTAAGAATCACACGAGGTTTATCAGAAGAAGTGTTCTGGTTTTTACCCTTTCCTTTGTCTTTTATTGTAGAGTCAATCTCCTCCTCTTCCCCGGAAGAAAGCTGGTGAACATGGGTGTCCATTATTTCTGCCAAAAATTATAACAAAATAAAACATTTAAAACAAGAGACAAAACCTGATCTAATAGTAATTAGTAAAAGATATAATTAGAAACACATAAAGAAAAAGATACAACTTGACATGAAAGATATGGAGATTGAAATTAAAAAGGAAGTTAAATGCAAGAATATCTAATATCCATACTCCATGCTCAGATTGCTCACAAGATCAGAAGTCTTATTGATTAATATCGTACCTTCTTAAGAACTAAGAATGTGATCGACTCAAATGTCGTGAGTTGCAATCAAGGTACTAACTTTCTGTGTGAATATCTTATTATATGAAGTAGATTAAAATAAAAATTAAATTAACACTATATTAAGTATAAGTGTATAACTCTACAAGACCACTAAGGCACTAATATGAGTAAAAGCTAAAGACCACTATCAAAAAGAGCATTAAAAGTTTAATACATTAAATTACACATCTAATCAGCCTTACACACAAGTAAGTAATAATTACATGTAACCACTTGATCAGTATATCTACATATACACTACAAAACGAAACGAAACGAAAACAAATTAACAAGAAATTACCTTTGAAACAGAAGAAGACAGAATTCAGAGAAGAAGATTAGAAGACAGAAGAAGAGGAGTGAACTCAGTGAAGAAGACAGAAGAAGAGGATTAGAGGAGTGACGAGAGAAAGAATTGAGGTTTGACTGTTTGAGGAGAGAGAAAATGAAAAAAGATGAAATGATGAAAACGGCTGATCAGCTGATGAAAATTTTAGGGTTTTAGTGTTTTATAGTTCCTTTTGGGCTTGGGCAATGGGCAGTTGGGCTTGGTTAGTTGGTTGGGCCATAATAATGCCATATATATATATTTTTTTTAAAAAGACTTTTTCGGGTTATAAGGTCGGGTTCGGGTTGACCCGACTTGATTTTGACCCGAAAATAATTTCGGGTTACGTGGGTCATTTTCGGGTTGAAATTTTCAACCTTAACCTAACCCATTTAATTTCGGGTCGGGTTCGTGTCAACCCATTTAAGTTTTCGTGTCGAAATTCTCAACCCTAACCCGCTGTTTTCGGGTCGGGTTCGGGTCGGGTTTTTGGGTCGGGTCAGTTTTTGCCACCCCTATGCGAGGGTGAGCATGATAGTGAAGTAATGCTATTTCAACTTGAAATGCTAAAAAATCAGAGCAAAATTCATGACGATATCATTAATGCATGGTCTACTATTCTGAATTATAATGAGCAATATAGAGATATCAATTCTAGTGGACGTTTCTTTTTCAGTCTTAATGCAATTATAAGTTCAACTCATTCATTTTGTTTTGTTTTATTTTGTTCGTGTTCACTTTGCTCATTTCATATAATTTTTTATATTTGAATGTAGATGTTGTTTTGTATTTGCAAAAACTAATATTAGTTCTATGCTTATTTGTCAAATGAGCAAACTATTTAATGCTCATTTGTCAAATTATTCTTGCTCATTCATTGAAAATAAATATTTATTTTTTGCTCATTTGTCAAATGAGCAAAAAATAAATACTGAACTAATTTAAGTCTCTTATTGGATACTAAATAACATAAAATCTTTGGATTAAGTATTTGAAATACTGAACTAATTTAAGAAATTTGCCTATTATAGTTATCTTCAAGGCATAATCATGTCATGGTTATTTGTTTGCACTTTGTAGTGTATTGTCTTGCATTTGCTGGATTCTTTTGTTCCCTTTTGAACTAGCTCTGAGTGTGATGTGATACTCCCCTTTGATTTCTTCATGTCTACTTTTTCATGGAATCTGTCTTTTGTCTCGAATTTGTTATAATGATTGATTAGCATGATTAGATGTGTTCTAGAGGAAACTGTTTCTTCTAGGTGGTTAATGTTTGGCCTATGAAATTATAACTCCAGCGGGAAGCGGCTGTGATCTCATCTGTTTTAAAAACCCTAAGGTTGTTATGCCGAGGACTTATTCTTTGCTACAATATATTTCCAGCTCTGAAAGTAGATGTACTTGAAGTTGCAAGTCCTGATGGTGTTGTACTTTAATAAAGGAAAGTTTTAATTTGAGAGATTTAAGAACTATTACTAGACTATAAATGTAGTCTTATAAGTTTCAGGGATTTGTTGAGGGAGTTGTTGCTAGTGAAGTGATTTATATAACACTGTCTTTTTAAACATTATTTGTGGGGTTATGACATCACTTATGAGGATCTGCTTACTGAAGAATTTTGAGATTTGCAAGATATGTATGTATAGCAGTAAAATACTAGTCTTAAATAAAAAAGCCCCAAATAAGAGTTTGAGTGCACCTGTTAAGGAGTTCAGTAATGAAAATCCTTTGCAAAGT